ACGTATAATTTCCTGTTTTCATGGCAATATGGTACTTTGTCACATTAGTGTGCCATTATATAGTCAGTGGGTGGATGTAAACTATTTTCAATTTTTGGATGTTGTAAATTATTGTCGTTTGGTATATGCATGTGTGCTTTAAAATGTTGCATATATAAGAATGGAGTTAGTCATAGGGAAAACATTCAGTTTTAGAAGTGGTACTTTTAGTTTTCTGCATTCTTAGTGGCATGTTTGGTATTGGTCACTCATTTTAGTTGTCTCCTGGTGGGCATGTAGTGTTGTCTCTCTGGATTTGTATCTTCTGATGACAACTGAAATTGAGCACTATAAAACATGTTTATTGACATTTGGGTAGCCTCTTGTTAAATACCTACTTTCGCCTGCGTTTCTATTGGATTGTCATTTTCTGGATTTATTGGAAGCCTTTATAGGGTATAGGGAGTAGAGTGTTTTCATGATTGTTACTGCCCTTTTCTTCCATTCTGCGCCCTGCCTTTTAATTTTTTTTTTTTTTGTGAACAGGAATTGTCAATTTTAGTAAAGTTCAATTTATTCCTATGTTTTAAGGTAAGTGTTTATGTGTCTGTCCTATTTTAAGAAATACTTGCCCACCCCAAGACCATTAATCTCTTGTTTCATTTTCTAGAAGGAAGCATTGTTTGACCTGTCATATTTATATCTCGAATCTATTTTGTGCATATGATAATGGGGAGATGTTTGAAGTAGCACTTTTCCATATGGATATTAAATTGACTCAAACCCATTTATTCCATTGGTCTACTTGTTCTAATGCTGGTATAACACTGTAGATTGAAAAATAATTGTTTATCTTGTAGTGTAAGTCCAATTTTCTTGTTGCTTTTCATGATTGTGTTATTTTTGACCCTGCATTTACATACACATTTTATAATCAGTTTCAATTTTAATAGAACTGCATAAACAAAATCCTGAGAATTTTATTGAATATAAACTTGGGGAAAATTAGTATCTTTATACCATTGTGTCTGTTAATTCATGATATAGTATACTTGTCCATTTATTTATATCTTTAAAAAATATGGTTTGTAGTTTTCTGTATAGAGGCCTGGAATCTTTCATTGTATTTCTAGGTTTTGGTTTTTTTTCCATGTTATTTTGAGGGTATTTAAACTGTCATTTCCAAATTGTTCTTACAGTAAAATTGATTATTGTATATTGACCTTGTTTTCTGTGACCTTGCTGAATTAATTTATTCTAACAGTTTGATGTGGATTGTAGGACAGTTTTTAAAAAAGGATTTCTTGATACAAATGAAAGTTTTAAATGCATCCTTTTTGTGTGTGCTCACAAATATATGCAAAATATGTTCATTTCATCATCATAATGACAAATTAGAAATAATCTAAATGCCCTTCCGTCATGGCACATCCTTACTACATATACTGTGTTGCTGTTAAAAAAGGTTGTAGTTAACTATTTTCTGCTAGTACAGATTTCCTGCATGCAGTGTTAAAGGAGAAAAGATAACGTGCATAATCTTATATGGGTAAAACAGGAAAAAGCTGTATTTGTACCTGCTTATCTTTAGAAAAATTCTGAAAGGTAAAACTTATGAAAGGCTTTGTTACGGTACAATTGCTATGTAAAAGTTAAGTATTTGTATATAAACTATATAGTTTGATAAATTTTGGCATATGTATGCACCTGTGAAATCAAGATAGTACAGTCTCTCAAAAGTTTCCTTTGTTTTAGCTTGTAATTTCCTTCCTCCATCCCCAAGCAACCACTAATCTGCTTTCTGTTATTTTACATTAGTTTGCATTTTCTAGAGTTTTCTGTACGTGGTATTCCTCAAAGGGTATTTTCAAAGTATATGTTCTTTTAGGGGTTGTGTCTGGCTTCCTCCAGCATAGTTTTGAGATTCATCTGTGTTGCTTGTATCAGTAGTTTGTTAATTTTTTAATTACTGTGAAGTACTCCTTTGTTATGCTAAACCATAATTCACCTATTGATGGACATTTGGGTTGTTTCCAGTTTTTGTTATGAATAAAGCTGATATAAATGTGCGCAAGTCTTTATATGGGCATATATGACCTTTTTTTTTTGTTTCATAGGAATGGAGTGGTTGCATAGGACAGTAGGTGTATATTTAGCTTTCGAAGAAACGGTCAAACTTTCAAAGTGTTTGTACTGTTTTACATTCCACGCTAAGTGGAATGTTCCTCCAAGTCCTCACCAGCACTTGGTATGATCAGTCTTTTTTGCTAGTACAGATGAGTAAATGCATTGTTATACAGGGGAAAAGTAAGATAACGTGCATAATCATATAAGTAAAACAGGAGAAATAATCTGTATTTGTGCCTGCCTATTTTTTTAAATATTTAATAGGTACATAGTGGCATCTCATAGTGCTTTTAATTTGTATTTTGCTAATGACTACTAATGTTGAGCATCTTTTTATGTGTATATCTGCTTCCTGTATATCTTCTCTGGGGAAGTGCCTTTAAATATTGAGTCTTGAAATCCATGAACAAGGTATGTAAAATAGGTTGTGCCTTGTTTGATTTCAGCAGTATTTTGTTCTGTGCAGTGAGAGATCTGTCACTTTTTTGGGGTCAGATTTATTAATTATTTAATAATCTTTGATTTTGTCAATACTAGCTTTTTAATTTCAAGTTCAGATTGCTTATTGCTAGTATATAGAAATACAATTGATTTTTGTGTATTGACCTTACATACTGCAACCTTGCTAAACTCATTCTAGTTTTGTTTTTTAGTAGATTTCATCAGATTGTCTTCATGAATACTAATGTCTGAATTTAAGCTTTGTCTTCTTTTTTTCTCCCATCAGGAGACTTTGTTAGTCTGATTGCTCTGACAGAACCCATCCAGTACATTGTTGAATAGAAATGGTAAGGGTGGATATCCTTGATCTTATATGGGGAAAGGCATTCTATCTTTCACCATTAAGTATGATGTTAGTTAAGTTTTTATAGATGCCTGATGTCAGATTGAGGAGTTTACTTCTAATCCTAGTTTGCTGAGAATTTTTGACAGGAATGGAAGTTGAATTTATCAAATCTTTTCCTACATCTATTAAGATGATAGGGGTTTTCTTTTTTACCTTGTTAATACAGTGAAGTGTGTTGATTGCTTTTTGAGTTTATCCATGGATACCTGGGATAAACTCTAGTTATGTATTATCCTTTGAAAATACTTGGTTTGCTATGACTTTGTTTTCAATTTATTCATTTTGCATTCAATTATGAATCCAGGCCTGAAAGTTGTGGGTAGTGAAAGAAAGGTTAATAGCACCAAAAGGTTTTCTTCAACATGTGATACGAAAGGACAAAATAGAGAAGTTGACATCATTCATAATCTTGAAGAAAGAGTGGGAAAAAACAGTAAATATAAAAGATTAGTTAAAAAATCTAAAAATGTTTAAGGCAAAAATTATAACCAGACTGGAGTTCATAGACACATCATGAATCCATTTAATTGTAAGTTTCTTAAATTTTATTTGATGTGATAAAACATTAATTCTAAATAGACCTTGAAAAGGCTATATCTAGGGCAATCACTATAAAAGCAATGCAAAGAGATATAACCCAGAATCTGTAGAAAGACTGAAAAATGTTCAATTCAGGAAGGCAGTGGAGGCTAAATGTATCTGTGCTGCCAATCTCAATGAGAAGTTTGGAGCTCAGCAAGATCTAATTCTGATAGTTGGGAACTTTTGAATTTTGATGGCTGTAAACTTTTCTCAGCCTTGTTAATACTGCAAATGAATCCTTTGGGAATTCATGCAGATTAGACCATGTTATACTTTGAAATACTAAAGTATTAAAAATATATCAATATATAATGTATTAATATATCAATATACTATATAATATAATCAATAATAGTAAACTTTGCAGACTGAACTATTTCAGCTGCCATCTACTCCCATTGATACAGAATTTGCAGCTTAATTTTAGCCACGTAAGTGCCTGATAAAAGTTTTTTCTTTTAAATTTATTTTATTTATGCATGCAAGATCTGGGGTGTAGGCTCAAAGTACGGGGGTGAGTATTCACCAGAGACAGAATGGGGAGCAGAACAGGTGGATCTACTGAAATACACTGCTGAGGGGAGCAGTGGGTGAGACAGTAGAGGCCTGTTGTGCCATGTGGGTCAGCTCCCTGGCCTGAGGTCATACTCATGCTGCAGTGGCTGGTGATCGCTTGATAATGCTGAGACTTGAACCCCTGTGCCACCAGGGAGGCCCAAGTGCCTGATAAAATTTTACAACCTTCAGAGGAACTTAGCAAAATATGGCATCTCATCAAATGCCATCATTCATAACAATCCAAATATAATCCAAAATTACTCAGCCTATAAAGAAACAAGACCGAGAGACCCATGAGGATCAATGGGGGTTGTCCCTCAGATGACCCACATATGTAATTTTGTTGTCATTGTAATACCCCTCGTCTAGCAAATAAGTATTTTTTCAGAATCTCACTGATAATCTTGTTAAACCACTTGTCATCAGCCACGATGCCCATGCTGTCTAGGATCTTGATGTCCTTGGCCTTGAGAAGAGGCATCACCCCTGAGGGCAGCCAGCAGGTAGGAGGTGACAGCATATCTTGGTGGTGGCACATCTTGGTGTAGTGGCTTCATGCATGTGACCTCAGCGGTGTCAGCAATGGAAAAGGGTGGTTTGTAAAAGACATGGTTGGCCCGGTATGCCTTGCCCGAAGCTGTGGTTTTACTATGTCATCTGAACCCTTGCTTTTGACCCAAGGTGTAGAGTTACAACCTGAACTGATTCATCTCCTGAGAGATGAACTAAGCTAAACTAAGAGTCAGAAAATGTTCTTAGGTAGTGGTGGAGCACCTAGCTACAAGGCTACCACTTTGGATCATTTATGTGCTTGGGAATAAGCTGAGAAAGTGAGTGTGCTAGGAGGGGCAGGGAGGGTGTGGTTTACATGGTGGTAGACAGGAAAATCCAAACACACAAACCTTGGCATCTCATTTGTTTTTGTCTTTCCCATAATGTAGTTTATTGTTTCAGTTAGTTCTGGGAAGCCATAAAAGTTTGCCCCAGTTCCACATCTCCAGGTAAGTTGTCTGTGGCCAGGGGACACAGGGTATTGGTGGTGTTTCAGGTGGAAGCCTGTTGGGGAAAGATGAGCACTATATTCGTTGAAGACATGAGAGCAGGGGCCCTAAAGGAGAGCCCTGGAAAATCTTTCCTGGTAGAGTGGTATCCTGCTAGTTCTGGGTTCTTGGGGGTGAATGGGACTGAACCTTCAAGGGATCTGGAGTCTTCCATTAGGCCTGGAATACCATCTGCTTCCACTATAATGGCATAGCAGTGAAAAGGAAGGAGTTCTGTAGCTATTAATACTAGGGTTCAAATCCCATCGCTGCCCCTTAATTACCCTTGAACATAGTCCTCCGTTTTTCCATCTGTCAAATGGGTACGTAAACCGGTATCCCAATTAATGAGAATTAGATGAATACAGCACTTAAAGCAGTCTGTCTTTTTTTTTTTTTTTTTCAATTTATGCAAACAAGAACTGGGGTCTAGGCCAGAGGTGCAGGGGGTGAGAAGACTCACCAGAGACAGAATGGGAAGCAGAATAGGTGGTCCTACTGAAATACACTGCTGAGGGGAGCAGAGGGTGAGACAGGAGAGTTCTGTTGCGCCATATGGTCAGCTCCCTGGTCAGGGATCAAACTCAGGCCTCAGTGGCTGGTGTTAACTTGATAGTGCTGACTTTAACCCCTGTACCGCCAGAGAGGCCCAAATTATCTCTTTTTACCCTTGTGTGCATTGCTTTGTGGTGGATGTGTTGGGTTGGTCATCCTGGGCTACCACTTTAGCTGGGGCTCTGTGCAGCAGTGTGTGACTGGCCTTCCTGACATCCTAATTGCCTTTCAGTCTCTTCCCTGGCCTCATTCCTCTCCTCAGTCTCTCTCAGCCTCTCTCAGCCTGCCTTCTGTTTGTCTCCTGACCCCTCCCCGTTCTTTCTTTTTTTAAAGATTGATTTATGCATACATGAACTGGGGTACAGGCCAGAGGTAGGGGGGGATGAGAGGATTCACCATAGGTTGCCACCAGGGAGGCCCATTTCTTCCTTTCTTTACGCAGGATAACCCTATGGTACCTGGGGTCGGGGGTATGGGGGCCTTTCTCATCTGTCCCCTATCAGTTTTCTGGCATGTAGGAGTCTTGTGCACAGTCATCTGGGTTTGGATGAGTGTGCACAGCATCATTATATGCTCCAGGCACACAGATTTGGTTCCTTTCAAACAATGCCCATGTTGGCAGATTTCATCCATTCATTAACACAGTGTAAGCACAGGTTTACTCTATTCAGGTTTAGGCCCGGGTTACTGGGGTAAATAAGATGTGGCCTCTACTCTTCCTGAAGGTTAGTGAGGGGAGAAAGGAATAAGCAAATACACAAGGTGATTTTGATGATAAAGTGCCGTGAAGAAAAGAAAGGTGACTAAGGTTTTCAGAATAGCTCTCACAAATAGCAGACACAAGTTGAAAACCTAGATGATCAGATAGCACCAAAACAGCAGGCAGGTGGGGTCTTTGTCAAGAAATAAAATCTGACTTTCGTGAATGTAAGCAGAAGAGGAATGTACGGGAAGGGCATCGGTAGTTTAGATAGTAGGGGCAGGAGACTTGGAAAATTAGGCCAGCACAAAGGCAATTGTTAAGGAAGGCTGGAAGCCAGACCTTAACCAGAGAGTCATGCCACAGTAGACCATTGTTAGTGTCCAGCCACTATTTTGGATACTGGATACCATTTGTGCCATGAGTCCTGAACCCATTGGCACACTATCACCAGAGGGGCCTCCAAACTGGGCTTGGTCTGCCCAGGGCTGCATGTTTGTTCTCTGCCTGTTAGAACTGAAGTCTGCTCCCATCTCAGAGTGAAAGCTGTAATCCCCCACATGTTCTGTTCTTCCAATCCTTCATCTACTGCCCTTCCCTTGTCCTACCCTGCTATGGCTGCATTGACTCCTATTCCTCAGTTGTGCCAAGCCTGCCCCCATGGTCCTCTGGGAGCACGGTTTCCTTTACCTGCAACACTTCCCCAGATATCCCCACAGATCTCTTCCTTACCTGTGCCAGACCCACTCTGGAAGCCCCCTCAGCCTTCCTATGTAAGCACAGTCTCCCACTTACCTGATACCCTTATGCCCTTTTTACTCCTTGTTATCTTTGAACATACTGTTTGTCTTGTTGGAGGAATTCGCCCCAGGGGGCCTAGTATTAATACCAGGTATTAATACTGTCTACCTGGTATTAATACTCCACAGTTTGGAGGAGTGGGGGATAGCAGGGGTGCATGCTGAACCTGGTGTAGAATATCTTGGAGCGCTGTAAGTTGAATCCTATTTGTCACAGGTATTTGTGATTCTGCACAAATAACGCCTCTTAGCTTCAGTCTTACCATCCAGAATGGGGAACCTGCCTCAAATGGATTCTTAGTAAAGAGTAAATAAGAGAATGTGCTAGGCCCTAGTGGCCATTCTCTTCTATCCACCCACTCAAATTTGTTAAAATAAGCCTCCCAAGCCAGTATGAACGCAACGAACGCATTTACTTTGGATTATGTCATTATAAATATTAACAAGTAAGACTTAAAAATGACACTTTCGGGTACAAAAATTGTATGTGGAGCTGCAGTTTAAGGACAGTTTCTGCAGCCATCACATGGTAGCAAAACGGTGTTAAGCAGTGCACGAGTCTGCGTCAACGACAGCCAGAGTCCATGCATTGGGAGGTTCTCTCGGTTTGAGAAGGAACAAAGGGCGGGGCATGCACGGGCCGGGAGGTGCAGTTCCTCGCTCTCGCCACTAGAGGACAGGAGGTGACCGCTTTCAGGTTTGGAAGACGGGCCCGTCAGGGTTGGCTAGTTAGTGGCGATGGGCAGGGTGAAAGGTGGATGCAGCGCATTGGATGACCCCCTGGTTTCTGGCACCGGACTTTGGAATAACTTCTTGGTGTCCAATTTCCCATCTTTGTGGGATTGATGGGTCAGCAAAAAAAGATGCCAGTTTGGGGTCAAAGGCAGAGCTGATATCAAAGAGCTTTTTTTTTTTTTTAACAGAGACAATCTGCAAGGTGTACGGAACAGTGCCAGGGTCCTGGTGAAGGTTGTTATCCTGGGGCTGTGTGTGCACAACCTCCAGTTGGGTGGACTGGCTGTCTAAAAGACCCTCTCCCCGTTCTGTCCTTGGGATTGGGTTGGGCCACCTTTTAGGACCAAGTCTACCTTGCACAGCCTTGGGCAGTAGAGCACCTTGTAATGGGTGCCAGGGAAGTACCAGGAAACCTGGGTTGTCTCAGCTGGGCCTGTATAGGCCCCATCACTTGCTGGGGCTCAGTTTCTCTAATAAGGAAGTTGTACAGGGGGAGGCACACATCCCTTTCTAGCTTTGCCACAGGAATATGTCCATGTCTTCATAGAATGGAGGCTCCTCTCCAAAAGATGGCCTCTAAAAGGCAAATCTAAGATACCAAGAGCTCACCCAGACACAAGGTCCTGCAAAAATATTCCCTCTTTTCACTTGAAGTCTGTACAAGCTCTCCCATTCCAGCTCCATCAAGGCAAGGCCTGAGCCACACGCACCTCTGGGTGAGTCCTAAGTGGCATGAATGATTTCAAAGCCATCTAGAGGATGAGGCAGCAGGATAGTGAAGAGACCCACCCCACTTCCATCATGCACCAAAGCTTACCAAGCTCTCGTGAGTATCTCTGCTCAGCCCCTAGCTGGAGGGAGGGGGAGGGCAAGTTTCAGCCCCTAGACAACCAGTGGATGTGGCAGTTAAGAGGACATGGGCTTGAGTCTTGGTTTACCTCTTCCAGCTTCAATCTTAGTTTCTTCATCTGTAAATAGGGATGACAAACGCACTTCACAGTGTTGTGAAGATTCATTGCCACCACATGTAATTGCAAAGGCTTAAAGAGAAAAACCAAGGCTCCATGACCACTGAAAGTCACCAGGTATTGTGGGGGGCTAGAGTCTTGTTTTTCCTGCAAACTGGGAAAGGGCTGATGGGCACTTGGTGGGATTTGCGTCATCACCCCAGGCCTCAGATGGTGCTGTGCTTTGTGTTTGCAGCAGAAGGTCCAACTTTTCCCCCGTGCATCTACTATTACTAGCATTGGCTTGGGTAGGAACCACACAGGGGTGACCCCCAAACAGCTAACAGGACCTCACATGTCTGATGTATGAGCTTAGCACCCTACTTCCCTGGAAGTGAGGTGTCTAGAGCTCTGGGCTGGGGGTGGGCAGGGGCCATGGAGCTTTGTCTGTCTCAACTGTAGTAGGGCTGGAAGGCCTTGGGCAGGTCACTTTACCTCTCTGGAGCTCTGTTTTCCATCAGTGAAGTGTTGGGGTCAACACAGAAATTCCTAGGTTCTGCATGTGTTCACTCAGCCTTCCCGAAGGCCGCTTGGTCGGCAGTTGAAGTGTGGGGCTTTATGCTTGGTCCGAGGATTCTGAAGTCCTTAACCCTTTCCCAGAGACTGACCTGAGGTTCAGCTAGGCTCACATACCTCCCCAGAAGTAAGGTCCCGGACTGCTGCCAAGTACTCCTGAAAAGCCATCGGTGGTCCAGTAACCATGGGCAACCACCTGAGTCCCCCTAATACCTAGCCCTGAACTCAGATGGGCCCAGGCAGGGGGAGGGCGGGAGAGAGGTCAGGAAGGACAAGGAGAACTGTTTGCTTCCATGTATAAGGGACCCTTTTCTCTATTACAGCTGACCTGATGCTTTCGCTGGGAAGGAGGCAGAATCCATTCTCCAGCCTCTTCGGGACGAGAGCTCAAAGGTGGGGCAGCTAGGACCAGGACCAAACTTGACTCGGTACCAACATTAGTTTCTCCATCACACTTCACATACCCTATGGCCCCACCATAAGCTCAGCTGCTCTGACAGCCAGGGGTGGGGTCTAGGCAAGGCCGGGTGCCAGTGCCACTGGGCCCCCCTCCTGTTGTAACAAATCTGGCTTCTGAGCTTCTTGTACCTACCCCTTTGGACCCTGGGTCTCAAAGGGTCCCTGACATGATCACCTTTTCCCCCTTTAGGTCCTGTAACTGATTCCCTACACTGTTTTCCCCTTGTTTGCATAGAAACTTCACTCACCCTTCAAGGTCCTGCGGAAACATTATCTCCTCCAGGAAGCCTTCCCTGCCCTCCTAGCAGTCAGCAGAATCCACAGCACCTATAGGTAGGCCAGGCTGGCCATGGCATTCCTCCCCCCCCCCCCCAAATTGCGATATTTTATTTCTAGCTAAATGGGGATCTCCCTGACAGCAGGCCCTGGGTATCTTTCCGTCCCAGGGGACTGTGGAATCGGTCCTGCCTCTAACGTCACCTTTTCCCTACCTGCCCATTAATACCAAAGATGAAGGGGTAAATCAGGGTTTCCTTTTGGGAATAAATGTTCTTCAGAGTCCTGTCCTTCTGTTGCCCTTAATCTCCCCCTACCAGTCATATTCTTACTGCCTTGGCACCCCTGCACTCCTTTCAGCCTGAGGTCCCCTGTGACTGCCAACACCTAGTAGGGTTCTTGCCCCCCTGGATGGCCTTAGGCCCTTCCTCCAGGTAGGTGGTGAGGCCACAATCCTGTCCACGCAGTTCAGTGTCACTTTGTGGCTGGGCCCTCCATGGCCACCAAACAAGGGCTGCAGTGGCTCTATGTCCAAGTAGATGTCCTGGATCCTCCCCAACGTGGGAGCTGAGGCCATTGGTGGCAGTTGAGGAAGCCCAGGGCCAGGCCCACACCGGGCCGGTTGTGGTGGTGGAGGGGGCCTGTCAGTCGCTGAGCACGGCCCCAGGGAGTTCGTTGGTGAGAGTGTGCCAGCGCTCAATCCGCTTGTCCTTGTTCTTCAGGCAGTCAAACCAGTGCTTCAGACGCTCGCCCTTGGCATTGATGCCCAGAACCACACCACCTGCAAGAGGGGCACGGGGGGCAGTCAGGGACACAGCAACCTCCTGCTGCACCTTGTAATTCTGTGCTTCAAGGCCTGACTCTGCCCTGCCCACTGGCTTCTGAGGGTGGACAGTGGCCTGCTCGCCAAGCCATACTCTAGGCTTTCACAGATCAGGGCCCTGGTCCTGCCCTTTATCCAGGACCAGAGCACTGCTGGGGGTGGAGCTCAGTGTTAAGTGTTAAGGGGAAGAGATGGGGGAAGAAAGGGCTAGCCCCTCTGCGCACAGCCACCAAGCCCACCTGGAATTCAGAGCCACAAGGCCTCAGTCCATCCCAAGGTAAGACCCTCCCAGGCCTCCTTAGTTCTCTAGGTCTGTCTCTGCCTCTGTCACATAGGTACAGGCTGCACAACGTGTGAGGACCCTCACATCTTGCGGTAGGTGGTTTCTGAACCCAGTTTTCCCCCAAAGGCTTTGCAGGAGAGGCTATGGCCTGATTCAAGTCCACTTCCCTTGGCTGAACGCACGTGGTTAAATGGTATTCTCATCATGTCCTCTTACCAATGAAATCGTTGGATTTTCCAATGTCATAATCCCAAACGGTGACCTCCAGAGTCTTCTTGGCTAGGTCCCCATGCTTAATCTCGTAACAGAACTCCTGGTGGCCAGAAGGGATAATCAGGGTCAATGCCACATGACTAGAAGGGCTCGGGTGTGGCGAGGGCATGACTCAGGAAGGATGAGTGAGTGGGAGGGTGGTCAGGGCACGGTGGTGGATGATGGTGGAGTCTCATCTATTTCTGACAGCCGGGCTGGGGTCCACGCCTCTCTGCCACTGAAGCTAGTGTCTCAAGATGCCAGAGAAGCTCTTTATTTCAAATCAACAGACACTTGGTGGCCTTAGTGTGCTTGCTCTCTCCTGGGTCTGGCCCTGCTGACCACTCCTTTTGTGGAAATCTATCTCAACAGCTTCCAGGGTGTTCTAACATCTGCCGTCTCCCTCACTCTCTGGCAGTATCTCTTCTGCCACCTTTAATGGCTCAGATTCTGCCTGAGGCTTCTTGGCTCCTCTCCTTGGAGGTCCTCTCCACCGGCACCCACTCTGGTGCCCAAGGATCTGGCTCTGCACCTGCAGCCTGGAGCAGCTCCAGTCCTCCCACCATCTCGCTCTCCTCACACCTCCGCATCAAACATGGCCACCATTCTTTCACTCAGATCCTCTGAAGTGCTTCCCAGGCCTCTCTTCTTCCCCCATCCCACCCCCTTGACCTAGTTCAGCCAGGCCTTTCCTACCCCTCCCCTCCATCGAGGGGCTGTCCTGTCAACCCCTGCCCACCTTCTGTCAACACTCCAGGGTTTGGGGGGAGACTGAGCAGCTTCCCAGTATCTTCACCAGCCCCCTCCTACCTCATTGAACTCTGGGTTCAGGGTCTTTTTCTTTACCGCCGTCTTATGTTTGGATTTCTTGTCCACATCTGGCTTCAGGTATCTGGAATTATAACCCACAGACAGGGCGAGGGTAGAGAGAACCGGGTTCAGAGGGAGCCGGCAGGGCTTAGAAGAGCTTTTTATCCTTGCAGGACTTTCCCTGGACAACCCCATTCATCCTAATTCTCGGATTCCCTGGCACTACTGTGCCTAAGGTGGGTGGTCAGTGTGGTGAGAAACAAGTGGTTTCTTCATCTACTGGACTTCTAGTCACATGCCCACTTGTGAGGTTTACCACAGACCTTCCCCCACCCCATCCCCCTAGAAAGCGGACTTTTCCTTGTTCCTGGAGGTCTCATTTTCACAAAACTTATCTCCCCAACAGAAAAGCATTTTTAGCAGAGTTGGTTCCTCGCTAGAGATTTTTTAAAGTAGGTTTATTGAGACACATAAAATTCATCTGTTTAATAAATTTAGTAAGTGCAACATCACTGGAGCTTTGAGGAAGGCCTTGTGGGCAGTAACAGTTCTTCCCACATGGAAGAGAAGTTGGACTTTCAAGCTCTCTCCCTCCCTCTTCATTAGCTCCTTAGTCTTAGCTGCAGAACAGCTGTCTTCACCTGAGGATCAGGGAAGTGAAGGGAATTGCTCAAGGTCACACAGCTGGTCCCCATAGGGCTGGTGTGAGAAGCCAGGACAACACCTCTTCAGTTGTAGACCTTCTCATGACAGGACAACTGTCCTGCCTCTTTTGAGAGTGCTCTGGGGGTGCAGACCACATCTTTCTTATCCACCACCAGGTTCCTGACCCAGCTTACTGCCTGGCCCTGGGTAACTCCATAAACTTTTGAACAAATGATACTTTCCTAGAAGTGAATTTACCATCCAGAGACACATGTCAAACTTCTTGCATCATTTCGCCAAACTGCCCTCCAAAAAGACTGGTTGACACACGTCCTCACAAAGCTGACTACTTAGAAAATCCTTGTTGGTTTGGGAGGAGAAAGTGGTATCATTGTTGGTTGACTTTGCATTATTTTTGTAACAATTTATACAAGTTCATGATAGAAACACTAGAAAATATGTATTGACAAAAGTTGTGTTGGGAGAGAAATGAAGACATAGGTCCACACAAAGCCCTGGGATGTAGGCTAGAGGTGTGGGGGTTGGAGGACTCACCAGAGAGTGGGGAGCAGAACAGGCAGATTTACTGAAATGCACTGCTGAGGGGAGCAGCGGGCTGAGGCAGGAGATGCCTGCTGCGCCATGTGGGTTGCTCCCTGGCTGGCCAAGGATCGAACTCTTGCTACAGTAGCTGGTGATAGCTTCATAGCACTGTCTTTAACCCCTGTGCCACCTAAAGCCCTGATTTTTAAGCAGTTGCTTACAATTATTGAAAACGCAATTTGATAACAAGTGAAGTGACGAACAAAACTACTGACGCACACAGCCACGTGGATGACTAATGCACTTATGTGATGTGAGAGCAGCTAGATTCCAAAGGCCACGTACTGTGTGGTTGTTGCCATTATGAGAGAGTCTAGTATAGAAAACAAATCCACGGTGGGCTGGGGGAACTTTCTGGGGTTAAAAACATTCTACATCTTGACTGTGGTGTTAGTAATAAGATTGTATGTCAGTCAAACTTCAAAATTTGAAGTCAGAACCTCAAACTTGACTTTTAAAAACAAGTTTGGCTAAGGGCGTGTTATCTTAAAGCTCCCACCCAGAGATGGTAAATTTTTTTATTTCATTTCCTTAATAAAGCTTTCATACGCTTGCCAACCATTTTGCTATTTATTGTTTTTTGTCGCTTCGACTTGCTCTTGGCCTGTTCCCCTTTGGCAGTTTGCAAAGGGAGTGACCGTGGGTCCTGCACAGTAGGAGTGTCTCCCTACCCCTGCTTTGGGAAGGAGAGTTTTCTGGGATCCCCACATCCTCAGCACACTGCATGGCCCACATTCATCGAGTGACCCCTCACCCAGTCACTGGGCCCCCACAGCAGGGTACTAGGCATTGTTCCTGTCCTGCTTCCAGGCCTTTGTCCGTGCTGGTTTCTCTGTCTGGAGTACCCTCTCTGCCTCTCCTCACCATCCTGGGTGAGCTGCCTCAGTGCCCTTTGCAGGTGTGACATTTGCAGGCAAGGGACCCGCTCTGGCATAGCCCCCGTGGCCTTTTGCTCCCCCTTGCTCTGTTCTGGCCACCCAGGCTCACAGACCCTCTCCAGCAGTGGCCCCTCTGGTCCCTTCTGCACAGTAACTGCTGCTTGTTGAAGGCCAGAGCCCAGGTGGCTGGAGGGAGGGAGTTGTACAGGACAGCACGGCACGGTGCCTCCAGTTCCTTTAGTTCTAGGTATAAAATGGAGATTATAACAGAAGTGACTGCAGAGCATCAGCGGGAGGCTCACTAGGCCTAGCACTGCCCCTGAGGGTAGTGAGTCTATTACCAGCATGCTACTGCTTCTCCCCCATCATACCCTGAATAGCTGGATTTGGGGTCAATTTCTGGCCTGGAAAAGGGGAACTGGGGCAGGTGTCACCTAGGAAGAAGTTTATAAAAGAGGGTGCCATGTGGAGAAAGGGGAACCCTCATGCATTTGCTGGTGGGAATCTAGCTGGTAGAGCCACTGTGAAAACAGTATGGAGGAGTCTCAAAAAAGGAGAAACAGAGCTACTACAGTATCCAACAATTCCACTTCCGGGAATATATCCCAAGGAAATAACAGTAGCTGGAAAAAGCTATCTGCACCCCCATGTCCCTCACCGCATTGTTCACAACAGCTGAGATACAGAAACCATCTAATTGTCCGGTTTCAGAGCCAGACAGTGTTTTCAGTAGCTCCACCTGCTCTGCTCCTCACTCTGCTGAATCCTCTCACCCCCCGCACCTCTGGCCTACACTCCAGTTCTTGTGTGCAGAGGTAAATCTTAAACACAAGCGATCCAAGCTCAGATCAGACTTGTGGTTAACCAGGGAAGGGGGTCCCACAGAAAGGTGGGGCGGGATGGAGGAAAGTAGTTAAAAGAGACGAGATAAAGTCCTAAGGAGGTGCTGTGCCAGAGGTGACTGCAGCCACGCTGATGCTATGCAGGCGAGTTAAGAGTAGAGCCTCAGACTCTGGTGAATCCTCTCACCCTCCTGCGCTTCTGACTGTACCCAGTGCTTGTATAAACAAACAAACAAATAAATAAAATACGTGCCTCTTTAAAAAAAAAAAAGAGTAGAGCCTCAGCGTTCTCACAAGGAGCAAATTTTTCCTTTCTGTTGTATCTCTATGAGGAGATGGATGCGCCATCGCTTCTCAGTGTAAATGAGGCAAAGCATCATGCTGTGGTTATAGTACCCTCTGCTGGTTCTCAATAAAACGAGAAAGAGCAAGGGTACTGACCCAAGGCTTTGCTCTATCTAGCTCTGCCCTTAGCATTCACCATGGCTTGTCCCTAGCTGGCTCTCTTCTGGGGTCCTTGCCAGGGACACACTCTCAGGGCCACACCACCCAGAATCTAACCAGGGCCCTTATTTCGTCTGCCTTCTGTGAGGAAGAGGACCATGGTCCATGAAAGGGCCTTTCAGAGGCAGCGAGGCTTGAACGGCCTAAACAGGGCCTCTTCTCACCCAGAGAATTATAATCAGACAAGGGGGTTTTGAGGCCAGGGTGGGGCCCCCAGGGCAAGTGTGGCTCTGATACAGGGAACCACCTACAGATCTGCCCATTTTTAAAAGGTCATGCTGACCCAGCTGCGGAGGTGGACATGGCTTGCATGGGCCCAGCAGTTCCCATACTGACAGGGAGGAGCCCCAGGCTCGGAGGACAGGGTCTGCCTGGCTGTGGGGGTTGGCAGAACTGTTCGTTTTCCTGGGTGAGACCCTGCTTTCTGGCTAAACAAGCATGGGACCCTGGAATTCCTGTCAACCTGGCAGGTGGGCATCGACCCTATTTTAAGATGTTCATAACAATTTGGCTTCAGATTGCATTTGCGCCCTGCCATGGGAGAACTCTAGCATGATGGGTACAGGTAGAGGCACTTTCCTCCTTCCTCACCACCACCACCACCACCTTGCAAAGCCCTGCAAGAGTTAAGAAATGTGCAGAAATAGAATCACCCGTGCACCTTCCTGCGGTTTGCTTTTGGGCTCAGCATAGCTGTCCGAGTTAATTCAGCCAGTCCTCATTTATTCATTTTGTCTGCATAGTACTCCATTATATGCATATGCCACATTCTATTCATCTTTTCCTTTGCTGACGACTGCTACCCAGCTTGTTGCTAGACAAGCCATGCTGCCATCAACAGCTCTCCGCCCACCCACGCGTGGGTTTCTGGGCTATAATCCTGGAAGGGAAAGTATGCGGCTCGGTGCCCACACGTTTTCCTAGTTTACTGGCTCCTGCCAGTTTGCTCTCCAGCCATACAGACTGGTTAGCTCCTAAATGTTTGCAGCATTGTTTTGCTAATGTTGAAGCTGGGGGCCAATTCCTTATTTTTCATTTGGAAAAGCAGTAACTCGGGCCTCCCCGGTGGCGCAGCGGTTGAGGGCTGGGTTGCGAAGCTGCTCGCGGCCTCTGCGGCGCCAGTTCGATCCCCGGCTGCTCCCTGGCCACTGGAGGAGGGTCCCACATGGCGTGCAGACCTCTCCTGCCGCCCACTGCTCCCCTCAGCAGTGTACTTCGGTCCTTCTGCCTGCTCTGCTCCCCGCTCTGGCTCTGGTGAATTCTCTCACCCTCCCGCACTTCTGACTATACCCAGTGCTTGTATAAACAAAACAAACAAACAAATAAATAAATCATAAATAAATAAAAATACATGCCTCTTTAAAAAAAAAAAAAAAAAAAAAAAAAAAAAAGAAAAGCAGTAACTCCTGTACTATTTACCGGGAATCTGCACTGCAATGCAGTGGGCCCTGGTCAGATTCCCGTTATGTCTGGGCACTGCTTCTGGGGCCTGGCGGCATTAGGTTTTAAAAATAACAGCTTTGTTGAGCTATAATGAACATGCTGTGTGATGCACCTTTTTTAAAGTACACAATTTCATGCATTTTAGTATACTCAGACTCAAACATCAACCACAACAAATTGCAGAATATCTTCAGCCCCCAGAAAGAAACCTTGTCTCCATTAGTCACTCCTGCCCCAGTGCCTGACAACTACTCCACTTCCTGTCTGGATTTGCCCATTCCAGACTTTTCATTAATGGAATCATACGATGCATGGCCTTTCGTGAGTGGATTAGCATAGCGTTGTTAAGATTTGTTGTAGCAGGGCCTCCCTGGTGGCGCAGGGGTTAAAGTGTCAGTGCTATCATGCTATCACCAGCCACTGCAGCATGAGTTCGATCCCCTGCCAGGGAGGTGACCCACATGGCACTGCAGACCTCTCCCGTCTTGCCCGCTGCTCCCCTCAGCGGTGTGTTTCAGTAGATCTGCCTGTTCTGCCCCCCACTCTGTCTCTGGTGAATCGTCTCACCCACTGCACCTCTGGACTGTACCCCAGTTCTTGTATGCGTAAATAAATCTTTTTAAAAAAAATGGTTGTAGCAGAAATCAGTATTTTGCTCCTTTTCATGACCAAATAATCCACCTGTCAACCTGGTAGGTGGGCATTGAGCCTATTTTAAGATGTTCATAACATCTTAAATACGACTGAGTATGTTCATGCAAAAGTTTTTGTGTGAACAAACATCTTCAGTTCTCTTGGGTGTATGCCTAGGAGTGGATCAAATTGTAATTCTATGTTTAATCATTTGAGGAACTGCCAGACTTTTCTGAAGTAGCTACACCATTTTGTCCTCTGATTTTAAAAGCAACAGAAATACGATAGTGGCCAGTAGGAGTGGCAACCTCAGAGTCGTGTGGTGCAGCAGTGCTGGCCTGCATGTGGGGTCAAGACCTTCGCGTAGACTCTGTCACCTGGGCCTCCTCACTGTCCCTTCCCTACCTCTGTACCTTAACCCTCTGACTCTGCCTCAGTAGAAGCACTTCCTTTCTGCTGAGTCAAATTGCTCCCCAAGTCTTCTGTAAGTGAAGAGCACAAAACACTGACAGTCAACTGTGACACCTGCCTTGCCCTCTCCAAAGGCCCCCCAACTCCCACCTGGCCCTTTAAGTGAAGATCACAGCCTCTCCTGGCACAGTCACAGCTTCAGAACCCAGGTCTGGCATACCCCCCACATTGGCATTAGTGCCTCTAATGTCAACATGAGCCTCCATTGGCAGGGCTGGGTGGCACCTGTGGTGCCAGCTGGACCGGGCACATGAGCAGCACTAAGTCCTGGGTTCTTGGTCACCGCTGGCATGGCCCCTGTCCCTTCCTGTCCCCTCCCCATAGAGTAATCCTCTATGGGGTTACTCCATGGCCCCGCCTGGTCCCTTCCATCATGGAAAGGCCTGAACAGGACATCAGGAGAGAGCTACTCTGTCAGCATGGCCTGGGAAGCCATTCAACATCTAAGGGCCTCAGTTTCCTCACCTGTCAAATGGGGTTGGCTAGATTTTACTGATGGTGTTGCCAAAGGAACGTGGAAGAGAATGCATTCCTGGGAACACAGTGCCCGACGAGCTTCAGCAACAAACTGAGTGCCCGCCACACTCACCACTGTTCCGTCCCACAGACCTGTCTCTCGAGGAGAGGAGGAGGACGGAGGGGCTGGCCTGGGGCCACACACTCACGTTTTCACGTATGGGTCTGAGTAGCCATTGGCGTCCATGGCAGCCAAGTGAGCGCACCTCACGATGCCAACCAGCAGGCCCTGCTTCTGTGAGCTGTACTTGAGGGAGATGAGGATGCGGCCCCGTTCCTCCAAGGACTTGTCTTCCGTCTTGTCCACCTGTGAGGCAGGAAGCCACTCAATGGTCCTCCCGTCAGCTACTGGCCCCCAAGTCTGTCCACGGGCCCAGACCAGATGGTGAGGTGTCACACTGAAGTACCTCCAGAGCTTCTCCTGGTACAGCAGGGCAGCCACATTCCTAGCTGAGAGCCAGCTTGGATGGGGGGTGGTGGTGTTGTCATTAAGGACCCCTTCTGTGCCCCTGCAGCTGCCCAGGCTCTGACTCTGGGATCGTACCTGAATTTTAGACCTCACCGTCTGGCCTCCCCTCCAGCCAGCTGAACGCTTGACTATTCCTCACCCTTCTGAGACCTCCTGTTTCCACCTTCTGGCAGCTGCTCATCCACCGCCCCCTGACCTTTACCTTCTGTCCAACCGCCCAGCTGGAGCCTCGTGACCCCCAAGGGCCCTCCTTAGGCGTTACCCCAGGCTCCTCTCTCATGCAGTCTGGGCCGCATTCCTTTGCCCACGACTGTCCTCTGCCTGGTGGGGAAGTCATGCCCTGAGCAGCTGCGCATAACGAAGGGGCTCCCGTGCAAGGGCCGCCTCCCCCAGTTCCCACGGCCGCAGCAGATACGGCGATCGATGAGCACAGCATCCGCCCTGACTTCAAAGGCAGCCTCAGCTTCCTTCTCAACAGTGCTCGGTCCGCCACGGCCCATGGGTCAGGCTAAGGAACGTGAGACTGAATTTATCTGCCACTCTGGATGGGGGCTTTGGTGTGATAATGTAAGAATGAGACAATATCAATCAAAAGCTAAAAATATGGGATACACTTTGGATCATTTCCTGTGAAGACCATGGAACTAGGCACATTGTTCAGTGCTTGCTGAGAATGGATAAGGTTACAGATGATATAAAATCTACAACATACACCAAATATCTTGACTGGCAGAGCAGCTATCCCAAGTGGCACTGTGGGGGTCACTTTGCATCCCCCAAAGTGGATTCCTGGCAGATTCAAGCAAGGCTCAGCCATACCTGACATGCCCCCCAACACAGGCAGGGACACACATGGGGCCCTGTGCCTGAACACGTGAGCACACGCGTGCACAGTGCTCACCCCCCCCACCCCCGCCAACCCCGCACCGTTGTTTGTTTATGCCAAGGACCAAAACTCAGTGGAGCACCACTAAGTAGGCGTCGGTGTTGCCTTTTATAACTGACATAGATCATTTGAGAAAACTGGGTCACCTGTGGTTAGTGACTAATACTAAAATAAAGGTTATATCCTTCACATAAATGTCTATGAGTGGGAGAGAATGTGACAAAAGAATCAAATTTGATGAAGCTGAGCAAAAAGACAGCTGGGACTCAGAAGGAAGCGGGACTTGCAGGTTGACCAGTTCGCAGGGCTGGCCCAGGCCAGGCTGCATTGAGTGTCTGGGCCAGGCCCGGGTCGCCGGGTAGCGTGCTCCAAGCTGTCTCCCTTGCCCAGGAAGGGGGCGGGGGGGCAAGACATCCCCAAAGGGGCTTGTGTTTGGGCCCTGAACATTGGGCTGCCTGCCAGAGGATCCAGGTTTCTCAGGACCCTGGGGTCCTGGGGTCTCCTGGCCAAGCCCTCTGGGCCTTCTGAACCAGCTGAGGCCTCAAGAGAGGGAAGAAAGAGGGAGGTGGGGCGGGTGAGAGACTAGTGGACTGAGGCTCTGGGAGGCCAGTGCTGCAGATGGCCGGGGGCAAAATCGGTTTTGATATCATTTCCAAACATTAGTGATTTGTAGGAAATAATTATCTTCTGTCTCCTCCGGGTGTGTCACAGGCATCACCTGCCTACCGTGTTCCAGCTGAGCTCCCGCGTTCCCCAGCTGCTCCTCCCGAGCTTCACAGTTAATGACCCTTCACTCCAGCGCTCCGTCCCACGGCCGGGAAGCTCAGTCCAGCACGCCTCCCTTCCCTTGTGGCCCCACCAGGCCAGGGCCTGCTCACCTCACTGCTTTCCCTCCTCTCCATCCCGCTCTGGGCCTGACGAGCCCGTTAAAATGGGTCAGATGCGCTGAGCCCCTGCCCGCGCCTCCTGCTGCCTGCCCCACTAAGGTCGAAGGCCCGAGTCCTTCCTGGCCCCTCCACCCCTCTAACCTCTGATCTCAGCTGCCAGGACACCTCCCTGCCCTCTCTTCGCCAGCTGGCCTAATGCCTGTGCCTCCTCCAGCCTACACGGGGCTTGGCACCTGCTGCTCTGCCTGGGACAGTCTCCACCCGCCCGAGTCCTTCCCAGAGCACCCAGCTGACCCATCACCCGCCCCCCGCTTCTCAGTCCTGCCTTCTTGGCCCTGATCACTGCCTCGCATGCTGTGTTTGGGGGATTTATCTCATTTTGTCCAAGCTTCGCCAAGGCGGGGGTTTTTGTCTGTTTCCCTGGGCACATGCAACCATGTCAGGCGCCCAGTAGGGGCACCAGCCCTCAGGTGCTGCGCTCCCCAGGGAGGGCTGGCCCAGGACGCCTGCAGAGCCCAGCGCTGGAGGGAGCCCCCGGCCCACTCACCGGCAGCTGCTTCTCCAGGCAGATGCTGAAGGTCTTGGTGTGGTTGGGTTTCAGCTTCTTCAGGGGCACGCGCGTCTCCCCGATGAACTCGTTGTGGCGGAATTTGTCCTCATCGCACACGGAGATCCTGGAGGGCAAGGAACACGGCCAGCTCTACAGACCCTGGGTGCCCTCAACTTGCTTTCCGGTCACGGAGGATCCGCACGGCGTGAGCGTGGCTGTGTGTGTGGAGGCGCGCGCAGCATGCTCAGGGCCAGCCCCTGTGACTGGGAGTAGGGGGCGGGAGGGAGCCTGTGGCCCCGGGGCGCTCACCCACCGCAGGGTCTTTCGGATCATGTCTTCATCTGTGATCCCGTAGTAAGTGAGGGTCTCGTTCCACGTGGGGTTCAAAGTGTTTCGGAGAGTTTTTGTTCTGAGTTTATTTGCCTGGAGGAAGCAAAAACGAGCCTGTGAACATGAAGGAGTGTGGCAGGCTGGGCAGTGGCCCCAGGATGCCAGGGCCTGATCCTAGAACCAGTGGCTGTGTCTGTCAGCTTGCTTTCTGGATGGAGATGGAATTAATCACGAGGGTGCGTACCAGCAGAAGGGGGGTGCAGAAGAGATGTAGTGAGGGAAGGTCAGCGAGACGCAAGGCTGGCTTTGACGATGGAAGGGGCCATGAGCCAAGGGATGTGGGCAGCTTCTGGCAGCGGCTGGTGGTAACTTATTACTGCAGCCCAAGGAAACTAACCAGGAGGCTCCCTGCCTCCAGGCCCCACAGTGTGTGCATTTTCTCCAGGAGCTGCTGGGGCCTGGGCTATGGGGCTGGATCCTCACCCTCATAGTTCTTTGCCTTTGCTCAGGCTGTTCCCTGTGTGCCTGGAATATCACTTCTCCTAGAGAATACCTGTGGGGAGGTCTGCCCTCTACTCCTTCCTCTGCGCTTCTGGAAATCTTGGTCCTCAGACTCCTGATGGGCCTTATACCCTCCGATTCTGAGTTCTGCCCCATTCCTTTTGATACCTGCTATACCAGCTCAGGGTTTGAGGTCAGGAAGCCCTGGGTTTGAATCCCCATTCTACCACATACATAAGCGCTGTGGTTCAGGAAACACCTCTCAGCAGTTTTTAGGAGCCTTGTATATAAATTCTTTATAAGGACTGCACTTTGTAAAATGTCGCCTTATGCAGGAAATCCCATGGGGGCTCCCTATGAGCCAGCACCTGGGTTCCATGTGTCTAAGGAATCACGGTTATTGAACGCCTGAGTGGAGAACATCTCCTGAGCCTGCAAAGCCATAGGGGTCCCCTGGCAGCATGAGGACATGGAGCAGGGTCGGCCTGGGGGTGTTCTGCCATGGGAACAGGATTTTGTGGTCAAATAAATGGGCAGACACTGCCCACTCTGTACGCTGTGAGCCTCACAGAGCAGCCCATCTACACATTAAAGGCTCTGATAAGTCTCGCAGTAGAGAAACCTGTTTCCCAGTGTCATCTGGCCACAGAACCCTTTTTTTTTTTTCAAGTTAAATATTTTAATTAAAAGCCTGAAGTATTTAACATTCAATGGAAGGAAATAACCAAAAACACGGTGCTTATTTGCCATTTTGGTCCAAGAGGTAACTGCGATCACTGATGTCTCAGGCATCTCAACAGCCTAAGACATATATGGACACTGCACCAGGGAGACCTGCCTGGGACCCTTTATTAGCATGAAATATTAATTTCTAGTGGAGACGACTTTTTATAAAACCCTGACTGGAAATTCTCTTGGGGTTCCCCTAACTCAACCGAAGCCTATTTATAAGTGAGCAAACTGAGGCTGCTCTCCGGCCAGACATGCCAGCTGGAGGTCCCTGGGAGGCCTGGAGCACATGGGTTGAGGTTCCACAGTTTGACTGGGCTCTGAGGGGATGGGGAAGCTGGGGGTCTCCTTGGTGCCTCAAGTCCAGCCTGGGTCCCAGTCACAGGGGGCAGTGCTAATTGCAGGTCCCAGGAGGACGCCTCACCTTACTGGCTCCTGGCAGCAGGTGGAGCTTGACGTAGGGGTCCGCCAGCCCATTGTGGTCCATCGGCTTCAGGCCCTGAGCAGAGAACAGCCAAGGGTGTGAAGTGGGACACAGAGCCACAGGCAGTCCTTGTGCCCCGACCCTCTTCAGGGGAGCCCCCTAGTGGGGCATGAACTCTCCCCCTAGTGGGGGAGTGAAGAGGGCTCAGAGGGGTACAGTGTTCTCTCCACCCAAAAGTCCTGACCCAGGGCAGGTGTCATGGGCCTGCCAGACCAGCCTTTCTTCACCACTGAGACCAGGAGACTTGCAGTGCTTTGAACGAAGCCAGTGGCCCCTTTGGGGAGGCCTGTCCTTCCCTCACTTGCCCCAAATCCCTATAACCCTGCCCAGTCATCCATGCGCTTCCCTTTGGGGTGGTAGGGAAATGCCCCATGTCCTGGGGACCAGGCTCAGTTTCTCCTGATTCGCCACAGTGCCTGCCAGTCTGTGTCCACACAGGCCACACAAGCTGGCTGGCCGTGGAGGGTCCCTCCACAAGATGGCATCCCTCACCAACTCTGCAGAGTCAAGTGTGCAATGCCCAGGAACCAATGGAAGTGAGAACAGACAGGGGCTTAGCTGACCTCATGCCTGCTCATTTCTGATCACTGCATTTTTTTCTGGGATGGTGCCTGGGGATATAGGGATAGCTGTGGCTGGCGTGGGGCTGTGGCTGGCATGGGGCTGTGGCTGGAAGGGGGCTGTGGCTGGTGTGGGGTAGAGCAGCAACCCGGTGCCAGCACTGGCAGAGGAGCTGCAAGTTGGCTGCTTGTCACCAGGTCCCCTCCAAAGGGTGCTGGGCCTCTCCCCCCACCCCGTTTGGAGGTCCTCCCAGGAGGGGGTTGAGATTTGAGGTGAGGGCTTCCAATCACCCACTGCTGTGGGGAAGGGAGACACAGGTTTTAGAGCCAGGCTGGCCTGGGTTCATTCAGCTTCTGCACTTTGGAGGTAACAATTGCAATTACTGGGGAGTCTATGAGTTACATTGCCCACAAGCTTCTGGGGCTCAATAAAGTACCCACTTCTCAGGCTGGAGACTTGAGAAGGTAATACCAATGCAGGGCCTGGCAGGCAGGGGTTTGCTCTCCCTTCCCAACACCGCAGGCCCCTTGGAAGATGTCGTGGAAATGGTTGAGGGTGGGGTGGGGCATCTGAGCTGTGCCTGGAGCTGTGGGGGCACCAGTGCTACCTTACAGAGGTGGGTATGATTAAGCCTACTACCAGGGGCGCAAACTGAGGCTGCTCTGCCCACCCAGAAGGAGGAGGGCCTGCCCCAGGCCTCTAGTCTCCTCCCAGAGGCCACTGTTCCCACTTCAGGGGCTCGACTGTCAGCCTTGCTTCAGCCTTCCTACTCCCTGGGGTTTCTCACATATCCCAAGCCCATGCCTGTGTCCGCTCTCCCCAGGCAGAACTGGATGTAAACAGGGAATGACCTGGGGAATGGGGGAGCAACCATGGCTCAAGGTCCTTCTATCCCCCACTTCCAATGCCCTGACTGACACACCCCTAGGGGCACACACCTGGAGCGCAGGTGAGGAAGGGGGGGCATGCAGCAGAGGGAGGGGTCCTGGTGCCTGGGATTCTGACAAGGAATGGATGACTCTGGCCAGTGGTCTGACGGCCAGTGTCCACTCAGAGTCCCTAAGCCTGGACAACCTCTACAAGGCTGGGTAGAGGGAGAGCGGAAGGGATCTGCCCAGGCCCCACACCTTGGTGCAGTGAGGGGTCCCCAAATATTCAACTCTGTCCCTGGGGCAGGTGGACAGCTCTCTCATGGCAAGGCTGGGGGGCCCACGTCTTAGTCCAACAGCTGCCAAAGGAGAGGGCAGGGATGGCCTCTAGGTAGCCATTATGGACACTACTCAGCCCTGACCAGGGCAGCCAAGGTGTAGTGATCCAGGCTGAGGGTCTCAGCTGGGCAGTGCCAGCTGTGGCACAGAGTCAAGGGCAGAGGAGGAGAAAGGAACAGGAAAGCTCACAGGCTAGGAGTCAGGGGCTGGGGTAGGAGGGAGGGTTCTGGGCCCAGGCAGAAGGCTCTTAGTTCTGAGCTGGGCCCAGACCCCTCCAGGAGGCTCTACCAGGTCTCACAGTGGCCCTGACCTTGCGAGAGGACATCAACTTTGGCACCTTCCAGGGGGAACACTGAGGTGGGGACAGAGGACAGTGCAGCTGAGAACACAGAGCTGGCACGTGTCGGCCCTAGGGGCCAGGCCACAGTGGGGTTTACAGATGCCCCTGACTCCACCCCCAAGAGCAAGGCTCAGGCCCTGACACTAGAGATGGATCCCCTGCCTGGAGAGGGGTCAGCCTCCCCACGTGGTGCCAGCCTCCAGAGATGTGCCCACTCACGCCAGGGACTGCAAGCCTGGGACTGAGGCTTCCACATGCAGGCCTTCCTCAGCCTGCAGGACAGGCCCCGTGGCTCTCCCACCAGGCCCTTCCCTTTGTTTTACTTTCTCAACTGAGTTGACCGAGGCAAAATTCCCTCCTGGCTCTGCACCCGCACCCGCACCATGAAGGCTGGAGAGGAAACTGGCCTTCCTGACCTCCCTCGGCCCCCTCCACAAGCCAGGGCCCTGGGCCTACCTTGGCCTTGCTGATGGTGCAGTGGAGGGCATTGTTCTCCTGGTCGTAGAGCAGGCTGAAGTCCAGTGTGCCCAGGGCAGCTGCGGACAAGGGAGAGCCCGGGTCACGTGTGGCCAGACGTGTGGCCAGACCGGGGAGAAGGTCCACCCAACCCTGTGCAGTCAGCCGCGGCAAGCCTGTGGTGACTGCCACCATGGCGCACCCACCGCACGCGGCCTCTGCATCCACCTTCCAGTCCCAGCAACCCCGGGAAGCGAGTCGGGCTGTCCCCATTTTCCCAATGAGGAGCTGAGGTTCAGAGAGGTTAGGTTGGTTCCCCGTCACCCAGGCTGGCCCCACAGCAGGGCCCCTCACCCCGCTGGGGCAGTACTGCCTGTGGCCATGTCCACTGGCCCCTCAGCTCCAGCCAAGTTCATGCCCCCCTGCCCCATGTGAGTCTGGGCTCCACGCCTCAGTTTCTCTCATTTGTTAAATGTTACAGGAATTGAGAGAAGGCAGAGGAGATGGGTTTTGTGAGGCGGGACCTGTGCAGGCTGCGGGGAGCAAGCAGCTGGGTCCTCATGCGGGTCCAGAGCTTCTTAAAGGCACCGGGCGATTCCCAAGGGCGGAGGGGAGCAGGGGCGTTATTGGGCGCAGCTGCCACCCGCAGGGGCAATCACACAGCAGCTGTGCCTGCTACGAACACATGGCTCCTGGCACAAAGACCTGGGGTGTGGGCAGGGCCAGCCTCGGGGCAAGTCTCAGGATAGCAAGATGATTCACGGGATGTCTTCAGAGGCCCAGCTGCGTCTCCCTGCCTCCCCATCCATCCAGCTTCCTTCCTTCCTTCCCTTCATTCTCCCTTCCCTTTCTCTACCAAGTGTTGACAATACACCAGACTCTAGGGATGCAGCTCTGCAGGAAAGCACGGCTTAATGGGAGGAACAGACGAAAAGAATTTGCCACAGTAACGTCCGGTGGGCCAGGAGTAGTGGGGAATGGGGGGAGGGGTGTTTGGTAACACAGTGAAACAGAGCCATCAAGGAAGGTTTCCTGGAGGAGGTGACACTTCATGTGAGCCATGAAGAATGAGTAGGAGTTCACCAGTGCACATTGGGGCTGGGGGAGGGGAAACACTTCAGTCACAGGCCAAACTGACCCCTGGGGTACTGAGTGCCTGGAATGATGCTGGGGGGAGGGCAGAGTTCTACTCTTCAGGCCAGGGGTGCCCAACATGGGTCTAGAGCAGCTGTGGTCCTCTGGCCAAGTCAGCCAGGTCCATCTGTTCACATCTCATCCACGGCTGCCTGTGAGCCACAACGTCAGAGTTGAGTGGCTACTACAGGGGCGACGTGGCCCGCAGATCCCTGGGTCAGCGTAGGGCCCAGGCATGGCAAAGTTTGCAGTCTGCAGAGAAACGGATGTATTCAGGCCCATGAGTGTAGAGTTGAGCTTGTCTTGCCCCCCAGGTTGTAACACAGCACAAGGCACATGGCTCAGTGTCTGTCCTTGCTGGGAGTGGGGCAGGGGGAGGCAGTGTGGGGAGCAAGATGTCTGACTCTGGGTTCAAATCCTGACTGCACTTCCTTGCTGGCCTTAGACAGCTTACCTAGCCTCTCTGTGCCTCAGTTTTCTCATCTGCAAAATGGAGATACGATAGCACCCACCTCAGCACTGTGCTTTCACACAGCACTTGGGGTACAGAAAGAGCTCAGCAGATTACAGAAGGAGCAGGTTCACTTAGGTGATTTTGCTAGAAAGCTGTACTTCTCCTCTGAGACGCCTTATTCCAAACTGGGTCACATCTTACAGCCTTTGTGAATAGAATATACAAACGGTCACTTACTTTTCCGAAAAACCCGCATCATTGCTGCAACCACGTGATTGTTCCGTATGTCACGGGCACAGCGTAGACACGGAACGGGTGTGCGATGACTCCCAGGTGGCCACTCTTTTTGAGGTCTTCATTTTAATGCCTCCTCCTCTTTTGCCATCAGTTTGAAACCTCCTGACTTGCAACTGCCGTTAGCGTTCTTGCCTCTGGTAGCACAAACAGTTCTCCCTCCTATTCAATAGTTAACGCTTCTTCTATGAAACCAGGTGAAAATACTTGTTAGAACTGTGTCCAAATCAAGAGTCAATGGGCCTCAGATGGAGGCTGAAGCCCTTTTCCCTGGGTAGAGCAGGTAGTCCTGCCTTTTGCTGTTTCCTAGCTCTCAACTTTGGGGGTGGGGGCGGGCACCTGGGGTGCAGAAAGCAAGGTAGAGATCACCAGGTGCCCATAACAACCAACACAGCCCAGGCCTACGCTTCTCTGGGTCTATACTTTTCTAACAAGTCTCCAAAGCTGTTGACTTCACAGGACTATCAATCGATCCAGTTTAGGCCCACTGTGGCTCGTTCACTCCTGACATTAGCTTCCTGGGCAGGGACCAGGCCTCACGCCTGTGACACCAGCAGAAAACAGGTGGCTGGGACCGTCAGGCAACCAGCTCTCCAGTTGCTCTCAGGAGTGGGCAGTGGGTGCGAGGCCACGTGTAAGACACACACTCCATGATTCGCTGTCTGTTGCTTAATCACAGGACAAGGCAGGGAGGTGGAGGGGCTACTTGCTGCCCATTGGGGAACTCAGATCCAAGAGGGGTGTGGAGCCCCTCCCCTGGCTCTATGGACATCTGTTTAAGGAGCCTGGATGCTGCGTGGTGACACCAACACCTGTCCTCACTTCCCAAGGAGAACAGAAACCCAGGGCCACCCCAGGATGGGACTGATGAATTTCTTTGAACTCCGATGGAAGTTTTGTAAGAAATGCCAGTTTCCAAATACAGCCTTGGTGTAGAGCCAGCAAGGCACAGAGCAGGTTTTCTATGATCCGGGCAGATGGGTGAAGGAGGAGTCCTGGAGCCCTCAATGGCTTTTTCAGGCTTTTAGTGATCTTTCCACACCACTTGTAGTGAGGCAGGCAGGGAGGCTGGGGCCCGGGAGGCTGGCAGGCCTCCCAGTCCCTGGCAAATCTTCACTCTTTCTGGGCTCTCTGGCCTTCTCTCGCGGTCTCTCCGCTGGTCTCTGCTACTCTGCCGCACGGTCGTCTGCCCCCAGGCGTCCTCGGCTGCCGCCCTCTGTGACGCCGGCCTTACAGGCTCAGCCTCCCGGCTCAGGTGTGCCCACTCACGCATGCGCACACCCCGCTCCAGGGGCCGCCGTCAGGCACGCGTGTGAGTGCACAGGTGTGGGTCATTGATGCTAATGGCGGGAGGGCGGGAAAACCTGACAACTCCCATTGATCCTACAGTTGGTCATCAATTTTAGAGACTTGCTTGGTGGTGGTCTCTTAGGAGCTTATCGGATAGTCTAAGTCTTCGTTTCCCATTTGGAACAATGAGGCTCAGAGGGGGAGGTGTCCTGCTCAGGGCGGCACAGCCGAGCAGGACCCAGAAATGAAGGCTCCTCATTTCCATCCTGGTAGTTTCTGCCTTGAAGCCTAGTGGCGACACATTGTTCTTGTCTGCCACTTTTTTTAGCCGAAATCTTAGGAGGATGTAAAGGAGAAACAAAAGACAGAAAAAGAGTCTCTCGGGCACCCTGGCCTGTGGTATGGCCGAGGGGTCCCCAAGGGCAGGTGAAGGCTTGTCTGTGTGAGCCACAGGGTCCTGGCCCTGCCACTCAAATCACATGCCCCGGCTAAAGTTTACATCTTTGGAAAAATAATGACGGTTGGTCACTAATGGGCCTTTGAGAATTGTCACCCGCTTGTTGGTAATTATAGAGCTTTAATGGGGCTAATTCAGAGAAAATTAAGCTCAAATTCCTGTCGGTTCCTGTAAGGCTGCACCTCCCTCTGCTCTGCTGGTGGAGACGGACAGCATCACTTTGACCTTGGACTGCACCTGGACTTTCCTCATCCATACACCCTTGGGAATAGGAAACCTCCCTTTTTTTTTTTCTTTAAAGATTTATTTATTTATACAAGAACCGGGGTACAGGCCAGATGCACGGGAGGGTGAGAGGATTCACCAGAGACAGAGTGGGGAACAGAACAGGCAGATTGATGAAGTACACTGCTGAGGGGAGCAGTGGGCACGACAGGAGAGGTCTGCGCGCCATGTGGGACCCTCGCCAGCTGGCAGGGATCGAACTGGTACTGCAGAGGCTGTGGACAGCTTCACTGCGTGGCGCTCAACTGCCTGTGCCACTAGGGGAGGCCCTCCCTTTTTTTTGAAGAAAAATGTTAACCTTTCAAAAAGATTTTTAAAAAATGATGGCAAGAACCACAGGAAATGATCAAGTTTGAATTGAAAGCATTTCAGAGTTGGGGAAACTGAGGCACTCCAGGGGCTACAGAGAGGAATGAGTCATATGTCCCTACATCCCAGGAGGGCAGAAGCAAAGGGTTAGGACATTTCTACATCTATTCACTCCCCCACCTTAAATTGTTCAAAGGTTCGCCACTGTATCTTGGACTTGTTCAGCCTCCTTGGTGTGAGGTTCAAGACCCTCTGTGGCAGGACCCCTTTCATCACATCATCTTTTCCCCTTGTGTTACCCACTTGAACTGACGTGGCCTCCACTGAGCTGCGTTTCCTCCACCGCTGTACGTCTGTACACCGAAGTCCGTCTGCCAGGAGCACTTTCCTTTCCTCCTCCTCCTCTGCCAGGCTGCTCCTTCTCCCCCCAGTTTCTGAACTGAACCCTCTCCTTGGGTGAACTCTGGGCAACCCGTTTGGGGTCCTGTCTCGCTGTCCTCACTGCATCTCAATGTCTGTTAACTCCCTGGAATCGGAGATGGTCTCAGACATTCTTGAATCTCTGTGCCCAGCACAGAGATTGCTGTACAATTGTACAATTGCTGTACACAGCAATTGCTATACAATTGCTCTTGTAATGTCGAGCATAAAAAGAGGATGACAGGTTCAAAAATGGGAGCATCACATTTTTGTGGGGACTGGGAAGTGGGCCCAGCTCAGGGCCTTTGGGGCAGGCTTGGTAGTGATTCCTCGACTTCTTCTTGCTCTAAGCCTCACTGGGCGTCCGTCCTGACCCAGCCCAGAATGAATCATGCAGGGGCAGGTTTAAGCATGGGTGTGTGATGCAGGACTGGCCAATGAGACAGAAGGCCAGGTTTGCTGGGGACTCTGGGCAAGGTCTGATCTTAAATTGATACATAGGAGGGGAAAATGGTCCTTATCAAATTTAGGATCTCAGCTAGATGTCACAATTAACATGGGATGCTTGGACCTGCAGCAGCATCTTGGACCCTGAGGGAGGCCAGCCGAAGACAGCAAGGGCATGGTCAACTGGAAAGATGGACAGAACCTTCGTGATTGATGTTGCTGCCGAGCTGCCGCCCACCCTCATGGTTTATAGCACTTTGAGTTTTCTGTTGCTTGCGACCCAAAGCACTCTAGTCACGGCAGCTCTGAGGGGCTGCCACAGCCCGGTAGGTGGAAGGGGTTCTCAGGCGGGGGTGGGGAGGCACAGGTCTGAAGGAGAGTGGAGTCCAGCTCAGTTAGGCGCATGTGGGTAATCCCCAGGGGGGAGCCCCAGCAGGGAGGGCGGGCGAAGGAGGGCGGCGCTCATGCCAGTGCCACCCCTTTCTCTCCATCCTCACTCCTCTTAGACCCCTCGCACCATGTAAAATTTGTGCTTGTCCCTTGAGGTAACTTAAAGAATGAGGTTTAAAGAGAAGGAAAAATAAAGGCCAAATAAATAAACATTACTCTCAGCTTTGGACAACAGAGCAACCGCCCTAATTTCTTTTTGTCAGAAGAGATAATCCAATAATTAGGGCAGCAAATAGCATAACCCTGGCTAAAGCTGTAATGAACCATCTGCCTTGAATCATTCATTTAGGCTTGCTCGAGAGATTGCTTGTCAGAGCTGAGGAGGGGAGCGGCCGAGGGACCGGGTGGAGAGCAGCTCCACCCCAGAACCAGGGCTCCACACAGGCAGGAGCCGAGATTTCTGTGTCCCAGACCTGGTCTGTTTGCTCAGACTCTGATGGGATCCAAGCCCGGGCTGAGCTGCCCCTTGAAGGCAGGGAGGGGCCCACGCTAGCCCAGGTGCACACACCCTGCCCCTGCGTTCTTTCCAGTAGGGGGTCTGTGACAGTGTGGTCAGCCCACCGTCCAGGCTGGAGAGGCTGCGTCCAGGCTGCCTGGTCTTGCTGAACCCAGTGAATCTGTCCCCTGTGAGGACATGTGAGCTGTTGGGGCTCCTGTTTCCTCTCTGCTGCTAGGACTGTGCTCTGTGAATTGACTAGAGGTGGGGCTGCTGCCAAAGCTCTGGACCTTCTGGCTCCCTCCTCGCCTGTAGGTTCAGGGCTAGTCAAAAGAAATGACCAGATTTCTCACCTCCTGGCTGAAGGTTGCCCAGAGGCCCTTGGAGGCACTAGAAGGGCTGCCTGAAGCTCAGGCAGAAGCTTTGCTTTGTGTGCTCACTCTAGTATACCAGAAGATACTGGAAATGGGGTTTCCCACCCCTTCTTCTGGAGGTGGCTTTGAATTCAGGGTATCCAAAGGGAGGACTTGAGTCTCAGGGCCTGCCCGGAGGTGCAGCTAGTGAGGGGGTGCATTTTACCAGGGGTGCCCAGAGCTCAGGCTAGGAAAGATCCAGGGTACAGCCCTGAGGGCAATACATTCTCCCCACCCAATTTCTCCAAGCTGGCAGGAAAAATGTGGAGGGAGAGGACTGCTCCCTAGTCCTGATGCCTGGGGGTAGGACCTCAATATGCCAGGCTCTGGCCAGAGGGCTGTGATCCAGGCCCCAAGAAAGCACACAGCAGGCAGTTCCCTATCACAGCTAAAGGGCCTCCCTAGATCAGGCTTGAGAGGTATGCCCCCCTCCCCCCAACCACACCCAGTGGTGCTGGTAGCCCACACCTTGGTCTTTAAGAGGCACGTTTTTATGCTTAGGAATCACCAAGACGCTGGTCCAGGGCCCGGGTGAATGTCCCTGCCGGAACCCTAGCTGCCCTGAGCACGCGAGTCGGGTGGGGAGGGTGGGATCTTGGCCAGACCTACTGCGACCCCTGTTCCAAAAGGTCCACCTCCCTGGACTGGGCTTTCATTTGACCCTGGTTTTCCAGGTCTGAGAGAGTCAAGGCTGGTGCCACAGCTGGGCAGGGGGCGCTTCCCCACGCCCGCCCCATCTCCACCCCCATCCCGTGCAAGCCCGTGGCGCATGGAGCCGCTACCTCTTCAGCCTCGGTTTCCCCTGCAGTTCCGGGGAGGGCAGGCACCTCCCACACCGGAAAGGACCAACAGCGTCCCCCAGCCCCACCCGGCCTGGGCCTGGCGACCCGGTCGCTCGCCTGCTCCCTGAGGCTGGGGGCTCGGCCCTGGGGAGCGCAGGCTCGGGATGGGGGGCGCTTGCTGGCGAGGCGGGGGCTGGTGGGGGGCTGGGAGTAACAGGTGGGAGAAGGTCGCCCGCCTGGGCGAGCGCGGCGGGAGTGTGCGCCGACGCGGGAGGAACCACCAAGGTTTTTCCAAAGGACAGGCGGCCCCGCGGTCCTCTGCTTCTCGGGCCGCGCACCAGCAAAGCCGCCGCGCTACGCCCGCCGCCCGGCCCGCCCGGGGAGCCCGCCCGGCCCGGCCCGGCCCCCGCCCTCCCGCCGCGAGGTCAGCGGCGGCGGCTCCCGGGCGGGAAGCGACCGCGCGGCGGCAGCAACTGGTGTCTCCCCGGGCGCAGCTCCGCCCTTCCCTGGAACAAAAGCGGCCGCCCGCGCCGGAGCTCCCGGCCGGCGGGCCGAGAGAGGGCGCGGCGCGGGCTCCGGGGGGCCGGGCCCCGGAAATGGGACACCCCCAGGGGGCGCCCCCAAACTTCCCACCTCTCCAGTGCGGGCCGGGGGAGTGTCGGAGCGGGGCGCCGAGGGCGCACGGAGCCGGCGAGGGGGCCGCGCGCGGAGCGGGGTGTCTGCGGAGGGACAACCGGAGCCCGCGGGGCGCCGAGGGGCCGGGCGAGGCCGCGGGGCGCGCGGGAGCCTGCGCGAGGCGGGGCGGCGAGAAGCCGGCGAGTTGGAAACTTACTGCAGTCGTCGGACTCGTAGCCGTCGGCGTCCGGCTCGTCCTCCGGCGGCTTGGCGGGCGGCCGCGCCGGGCTGGGGCCGGGGCCGGGGCCCGGGCTGGCGCCGTAGGCTCCGAAGAGCTGATCCACATCCTCCTCGTCGTCGCGGGCGCCGTCGGAGGGGCTGCGGCGGCCCGCGCTGGCCGCGGCGGGGCGCGCGGGGGCGGCCGGGGCGCGGCGGCGCGGGGCCCGGCGTCCGGGGGCAGGCCCCGCGGGAAGCGGGGGAAGTAGTCGGAGATCTGCTTGATGGGCCGGATGGGGCCGGGGCACACGTCGATGGCCATATGCTCCTGGATGCTGATGGTCGCCTTCTCCCCGCGCCGCCGGAGGGTCATGCAGGCAGCGCGGCCCCGCCCGGGCGCGGCCCGGCCCGGCGCGGCCCCGGCCCGGGGCGGCTCAGCAGGCCCGGCGGGGCGCGGCGGGGGCGGCGGGCATGGCCGGCGGCGCCCCCGGACGGCCCTGACGCCGCTGCTGCCTGCTCGGCGGCGGCCGGCGCGAGTGAGTGCCAGGGGCCGGCAGGCGGGGGGCGGGCCCAGCCCGCGTCACCCGGCAGCAGCCAAGCAGTGCGAGGGTGCGGGCTGCGCGGGCGGGCGCGGAGCGGAGCGAGCCGAGCGGCGCCGCACTCACTCGCACTCACCCCGGCGCGCACGCCGGCCCGGGACCCCGCGCGCGCACACCCCGCGGCAGCGCCCCGGAGCCCGCCGCGCACGCCCGCCCGCTGGACAGCCGGAGAGCCGAGCAGGGATCCACTCCGGCACATTCCTGTCCCTGCCGGCACCTGCTGGGCTCCGTCCCCCCTCCCAGGACGCACGCGGAACACACGGGGCACACGCAAACGTGTGTGAACACTGGCTCACACCTGAGGACACACAGACACAAACATATGTGTCCACACGGAGTCGGATGAGGATGCTCTGGCACAGCACACCCACAATACACACCCCCTTTAAAAGACACACACACAGAAGGGATGGGAGGATCAGGCACAGACGTTATGCACCCCCAGCGCACACCCACAGGAGTGATCTGGAATCTCAGGGCACAGAGCTTCCCCCCACATCCCCACTGAGCAGAACACACACTCTTAGGAAAGCGGGGACAGACTGCTCCCACACTAGCGGGACACGCACATCTTCAGCAGCCCAAGGTCATTGCTGGCACTGTCAATTCACACTCCCTCTCAGGGCACACACAAACACGCACACTGTAATATCAAGGCAGTCCCTCACTTGGGCGGTGAGTAGTTTGAGGGACTCAGTTCCTCGCCCCTCCCTTCGGGGCAGGTCTGGTGAGAACCTGTCCACACGCTGTGTTCAGGAGGGCACAGGACCCGCGGGGTCTGAGCAGAAGTCGCCAATGAACGGTGGCCATGCAGAGGTGGAGGTGTGGGCAAGGCCTGCTCAGCCTCCCACATGGGCGGATAACTAAATAAACCCACGACAGCCCCGCTGCTGTGCCCTTTCTGGCATCAACTCCGTTGGGAATGGCTGCAGCATACATAGTTGTGTCCCCAGAAAGCCCTGGGCATCGTTGGAATCCCGTTTACTCTCAGGTTTCCACTGACCTACAAGCAACACTTGTCTTCTTGGTTGAGTCTCTTTTGTGTAAAGTCTGAATGAGGGGTTCCAAGTCTGCCCTGCCCTTGACCTTAACCCCTGGAGGGGCGGGGAGCAGAGACAAGAGAGGAGACTCAGCCCTCCCCACCTCCAGCTGCATCATTCTGGCAGATCATTAACTCTTCCCAAATCTCCTGAAGTGGGGTCCAGTCTATCCTCAAGCATGGTACGAGGCCCTCTAGTGCAGAGTGTGGCATCTAAGGGGTGACAGGATTGGCTCTCTTCTCCCTTCCCTTGGGAGGCAAGACTCACTGGTAAGAATTGAAAGGAACCACATGCTGTTATGGGTTAAGTTCAGAACAGGGTGGTGACAGTCACACCCACCTTTGAACAGCCCTGCGTGCTGTGTCAGGAACTGCTCTGATTACACCCCCCCCCCCACACACACACACACTCCCCAGTGGGTAGGCAAGGCTGCCTGGTCCATTTTGCTGGGTAATAAAAGCCCACTCAGGCTGACGGGCTGGAGGCAGAGCTGGGGTTAGAACCTAGGAGTCCTGACAATTTTGATGCTTCCGCTGCCCCTTCCTCTCTCCCTCCAAACCCTTACAGAGCTGGGCAGGTCAGAACAGAAAGGAAAACAGGTAAAATCTTCTCCAAAGTTCTTCCTGAGGCTTCTGGAACAGGGACAGCCCAATTGAGGAGGCAAAGGAAGGAAAGAGCAGAGAGCCCACAAGCCCAAGCGTTTTCAGTGGGAATGGATTGGCCTGGGGGCTCCCTAAGGACAATCTGAGATGCTGGTGGGAGAAAAATCCAGCTTTCCAAGAGTCAGAGACCAAGGGAAGAGCCTGGAAGCCTAACACAGTGGGCTCTCATTTCTATGAATGTTTTAGGGGATTAATAGTTAAATAGGCACAGAGTGACTCCTGTGCCAGAGGTGGCTGCATCACTAAGTGATTACATACTTACACGAGGTATTAAAATACAGACACTGAAACTTGTTTCCTTATTCCTTCACTTGAAGAGCAAGAAACTGTTGTCCTCTTCTTACAGATGGGGAAACCAAAGCTTCAGGAGGTCAGGTGACTGGGAATGAGATCCTGGATATCTGGCAACCTGACCCCACTGTGCCCTTTCAATGTCAAGGCTATGCCCCTGTGTTCACTGGTGGAGGTGGCCACAAAGAAGGGGCTGACTGTGCCCCTCTGATCTTGACTCTCTGTGGCTCTGGCTTTTTGGAGGATCCATTAGATCCTCTTGGGTCTAGGGAGAGTCTGGAAGAGATGGGGTGAAGGGCCTCCAGAGTATGGAACCAGGGAACCTCAGGATGCTTGCTGGAGAAATATGTATGTGGGGCTAACCTTGCAGGTGGTGGAGTTGAGAGTTACCCCGAGGTCTGAGCTTGTCTGGTTATGAGCCCAGGTGAGATGGGGTGGGGTCCTTGGAGGGAGATAGTGGGACAATGGGGCAGGTGTCTAGTTTCTAGAAAGAGGATGGGGAGTCAGGCCAACCTGAATTCAAAAACCAGTGGTCTCCTTCCTCCTGTGTCTGACTTTGGGCAAATGGCTTAACTTAGGCCCCTGGTCTCATCTGTGGAATAGCACACGTACACCTTCTGAGAATCAAAGATGAGGATGGCTATAAAGTGCCTGAGGCTGGGTCTCCCTGGTGGCGCAAGGGGTTGAGCACCGCACTGTGAAACAATCTGCAGCTTCTGCAGCATGAGTTTGATCACTGCCGGGCCAGGGAGAAACCCACATGGCGCAGCAGACCTCTCCTGTCTCACCTGCTGCTCCCCTCAGCAGTGTATTTTGGTCAGCCTGCCTGTTCTGTTCCTCACTCTGTCTCTGGTGGATCCACTTACCCCCCGCATCTCTGGCCTGTGCCCCAGCTTTTGTTATGCATAGATAAATAAATATTAAAAAAAAAAAAAGTGCCTGATGCTGTGCCTGGTGTGGTGCCTGGCATATGTGGGGACCTTTCAACAGCTGGATGTGTCCAGATCCCAGCAACCAAGTCACTTCTGTCCTCCATGCTGAGGCGGATGCTGGGCAGCTGGGTCGGCCCCTGGAAGAATACAGTGGGTAGGCTGCCCTTGGTCATATGCCGCAGGAGCCCTGTGCCCTGGCTTCTCCCTCACCTGTTTCTCCCTGTGGGTGTCTGCCCTCCCCCCCTTCAAAGGCCCCTGTCCAGTAACATAGGAGTGGGTTCCTGGAAAGACGGCCCAAGTATCTGTACCACCAGGACGTCTGCTAAGAATGCAGATTCCAGGCCCTGTCTTCACATCCACTGACTTAGCCCTGTGCGTGAAGACTCAGGATGCGTTTTACCAAGCTCCCCTGAATTATTTTTATACACAATTATTTTTATGAGAATCGCTGGGTTAGAAGGTGCTAATGTTTTAATACAGTGATTCTCACCTGTTTTGCTGCCTCCACACTCAATGTGTGACACTCACGGGTAGGGGTGGAGGTTGTTGGAATTTCTAGCCTGTGCTGGCAAAGTCCCACTAGGGAGTCTGATTCTCTGGTTGAGAATGACCAGCTAAAGCCTTTCCTCCCAGTAAGGGACAGGCGTATTAGAGGAAATAACTTCTACCTTGCACTTGGCTGGGTCAGCGTCTCTGGCTGGTGTCTGCATGCCCTGGGGGGAGGGGCCTCCCTGGCCCTGGCCTAACATGTATCCTGGCTTCCACCCTTCCCTGATTCCTGAGATCTTGGCTTGCTGTTCTGACAGAACCTTCTCTGTACACATATGAATTTTTAACCCGAAGAAGGGAATTCCAGGCACTTCACGGAGGAGGTCCTTCCAGGGGCTATTGTCCATTCATTTATCTATGAATCTACTTTAACAAATACCTACCCTGTGATTGGCCCCGAGCTGTGTTTTCTAGGGAGCCTGGTGAGGAACCAAGTCCCACTTCCCTTAGAGTCAAATGTCAGAGGAGAATCAGTAAGGGACATAGGGTCAGCCACTCAGGCTATCCCCTGCATCTTCCCGGCCTTGGCACAGGTGGTGGGGTGGATGGGAATGTAAGCACATCAGTGCACTCTAGCCTGTAGCTACTGAGGGGCAGACTTGATGTATTAAGCTCTATTAAAAATGCAGCTATTTCTGATGATTTATGAAGCACATTCTCATAAACACATTACACTCGTCACAGCACATTTACTAGCACTAGGCCTGCCAGTGGGGAAGAGTTAACACTTACCTAATGATGTTGTTTTGCAGATGTTAAATGCCCTCGGAGCTGCCTTGATGGGCCAGTGGCTCAAAGAGATGTGTCTCTTTCCCTCCTGGGATGCCTATCTCGGGTTTGCAGAACACACATCTGGGACCCCCTCACCTCACCCCCCCCCATTCTCATTCTGGGGGAGAAACTGAGGCCTGTAGAGGTGGAATTTCTGGCTCACGTGAGGTAGGCCTGGACTCACAACTGGGGCTGTTGGAAGGACTCCGGCTCTCTCCCAGTACACACAGGCCGCTGTGGTCTAGGCAGGCAGATGGAAGGAGGCTCACCTGCCAGGAGGGGCTTAGCCCGGGATCAGGCTGCCCCTGGCAGGAGATCAGATCCCAGTGAGGGATAATGCTGAATCCTTAGGGGAAGCTCCAGAAATAACCTGTTGGAGGACAAGGTATATAGCCTGAGCCTTAGGTGATAGCTCAGATGAGGCAGTGCCACCTCCCCCCAATTCTGGCCCCCAAGAGATCTGTGACCACTAAAGTCCTGAATCTCGTTCAAGGTCATCAGGACGCAGTGAACAATTTAGTGTATGAAC